AGATAACAAGCTTGTATGAAAACAGAGAAGTTTGAAAGCTAGATGGCGTAAAAAGTCCCACAGTGGGGTACTTACTGCTATTTATAGTAGTGGGAAAAAATCCCCAAAAACGAGGACTTTAAATGCCATTTAATGCTGCAGGAGATAGTGGGACGCGTGGCAGCCCCCTGTTGTTTTAGCCGTTCTGCAGAAATAGAGGGACGCAGCGTGCGTCCTCGTTTTTGAGAATTGTCATAATGACAAATTCTGAAATGACGTTTGGTACTGCACGCCGTACTGAAAGTGACGTCCTAGGTACGGAACAATGATGGTTTTCTTGGGATTGCCAATAGTTGGTAGAAAACAACAAAAAGTGCACAAGTTAATTTGTGACTAAGCGTGAAAAGACAGGTGTCGAATGGCGTTTCAAAGAATGCCTTTTTCTTTCAGAGTCGAAATAAGGCATTCTTGGGGGGCAATTTGTTGGCTCCTAAATTCGACACCTTTGTTTTGTTGATGTCAGCCATTAAAGCTGAAGGATGTCTTCGACTGGCTAAGTCTGTCGAAATGCCCGTCGAAAGATGGCAAAGTACTTAGAAGATTTCTTCCAAGGAAGAAGGCTGGTTGCCTTCGACGTCGAAGGAGTTTCTCGTCGAAGATGTCTCTTGACGAAAGTGTTCGATGGTTCAGAGTGGAGCAGTTTGAAATTCAAGCTTTTGGAGGGAAAACGGTTTCCAGCAGTTACTACGTGCAAACGTGCAAGGATCTGGAGCGTCGAACGTGGAGAACGTGCCAAGTGGATTGATCTCGAAGCAGTGTAACTGCCCGACGGTTACTTGGGATGTTTTAGTATAAATAATAGTAGTCATGTAGTTTCTCGCGTGTGTTCACAATTCTATACAAAGTCACTCATATAGATTCGAGTACCCAGCGTGTGAGAAAGAATTATTGAGAAATGTATGTGTGAAACACCAATTTTATTAATCAAAGTCATTTACTTTTCCAGAAATTTACTTGCTTTTCTCTTTACATTCCTGTCGAAGCCTTTTACTTTAAGCCTTCTTTATTTTACCAAGTCCTTTCTTCATGCAATTTACTTGAAACCTCTTTATTTAAAGCCTTATCCAATTTAATCAAAACTTCAAAATCAACCTATGTCCTAGGATCAATCTGATCGATCCTGCGAGTAACCAAATAAGTAACCATTTGGAGGATCAGCGGTTGTTTACCAAAACTCAAGGTAAACAATTGTGCAATCGATTTGCACTGTAGTGCAATCGATTACACAGCGTGAAAATTAAAAAAAAAAATCAACATTTTAAACTTGTCAAATTTTGGCTCCAATTTTCCTTCACTTTTGAAAGATGTATCATTAATTCAAATTTTAGTGCCAATCTTTCATTTTTAAAAAGAATTATCATTAATTCAAATTTTGGCTCTAATATTTGAAAGAATTATCATTAATTCAAATTTTGGCTCTAATTTTTGAAAGAGTTATCATTAATTCAAATTTTGGCTCCAAGAATCAATTACCAAATTACCACTAATCCCAATCCTAAAACTCTATAAATAGATCTCTCATTTCATTCAAATTTCAAGCTTTTGATAGCCAAATCCACCTTGCTAAAAAATCTCTCAATTCTCTCCATCTACCAAATTCACTCAAAGCTCCATTTTCAAAAAGTTAGTAAGCTTTGCATTGAAGCTTACTAATCTTTGAGCTAAACCTTCATCCAAACACTTTTTCTCCATCAATTCTCTACATCCAAGCTTGGTCAATTGATTCTTGTGGTTGAATTGAAGCAAATTCTTGAAGTTGTTTTGATAATTCTCTAGATCTACATTTGGTAAGTTGGATAATTCATCTTTCACAATGTGATCTCTTGTTGATCTTTGGGTTTGATTCTTTGAGCATTATTTTGTGATTCCAATGGTGTTATTTTCTCATAATTTGATGGAATTTTCGTGCTCAATTGGATCCATGATCATAAGGTGTTTGATGGAAAGTTTGAACAATAAATTGCCTTTTTAAAATGTTGTTTTTGCTACTGTAACAGTGTGAAATCGATTGCAGTAACTGTGCAATCGATTGCACAGAAGAAATTTTGCACAACTTTTTGAAAATTGTACTGTGTAAATCGATTTACACAATAGTGCAATCGATTTACACAGGGACAAAATGTATTTTTTGCCTTGTTTTGGGGCAGCTTTGATCCAAAATTATTTTTCTACTCACTCCTTTTGATTGTTGGTTTGAATTACAATTTTAAATGTCCAATTTGTCTTTAAACTCAATGGACTTTGTGATGTAGATGAAGTTGGATAAATGTTCATAAATTCAAATCTACCTAAAAGTGAATTATTTAATTCATTTTTGGTGCTTTGGATTAATGATATGTTTAGTGCTTTAATCCATCTAGAGGAGTGGTTGAATTTAAAGATGAAAGAATTTTGAAATGGTGATCCAAATTATCTTATCATTCCCCTCCCTCTTCATCTTATCCCTTTCTTTTTTAATTGTGCTACATGTTAAGGGATGGTGATCTCTATATCATTTATCCAAACATGAAGTACATAGATTGCTATTGATCGGCCTCAAAATAGGTGCGACTTCTACATAAGTCCACTTACGATTGCTTAACATAACGCTAAATTTTGTCCCGATTCGAATAAATGATCATTCATGGCCCAAACTTATGATTGTAAGCCGAAGTATGTTAATTTGATCTCTTTGATCCAATAACCTTGAGATTCATTGTGTGGAGGCTTTGGTTCTACCAATCCTATAATGGATCTACAACACCTTTGGTCAACGCGGATCACTTAAACATCGTTGATTATTACATGTTGCCTTGTGAGAATTCCAAAATGGATGATATACTTGACAAAAAGCAAATACAACTTGTTGTGTGGAGGCTTCGGTTCTACCAATCCTCTAATGAGTTCCAAATGCAAGTTTCAATATGGTCATCCAACTAACCACTAATTACTAACAATTAACTTTACTTTACGCTTTTATTTTCATGCTTTATGTACCATTTACTTTTAGCATTTTACATTTCATGTTATTTTCATCTTTGCTCACTTGAGCATTTACTTTTATGTCATTTTTATTTTGCTCACTTGAGCTTTTCTTTCTTTTTAAAGACACCTAATAATCAACATGAACCATAAAAACCATTAATGATACTTGGACTACATGGTTATTATCCTTTGCATTATGGAGTGATGGACTTCTTGGACTTAGGATTAGAGACCTTGGCCTATCTTGGAGACTTTGTGACTTTATTTGATATTTTGTCTGGAGTTCTTGAGGTTTACCTCAAGACATTGGGTTGTTTGTTTGTTTTGTGTGCAGGTTATTGAGATTACGATCTTTGTTTGTAATCTGGAATTCACCCGTATACAGCTGTTACTCTGCCCAATTTTTGCGAAGACTTAAAACACTTGAAGTTTGGTTCTCTCAAGAGGTCTAGTATCTTTGCTTGCTTGGTTTCAATCCGAAGAATGAGAATTCTATATTGACTCATAATGTCAAGTATTGGCTTCTTGTTGGTTAGATGGTTCTTATCCCTATCTTTTACCTTATGCTTTAGGATAGCCTCTTCTTCTCCTCCCATCTTCTTTAATTTCAAAAATCTTCTCCCTCCTTTAAAAAAAAAACTCTTCTTGTTTTGAAACTTGAAATATTTTCATAATAAACTTGGACTTAGGTCCATGCATCTTCGAAATATTTTCATAAATAAATTTCAATCAATTTAATAATACATTGACCTTTTTTTTGTGAGAAGATTAAAAGTCAATCAATCTCATTTCAAACCATTTTACCACTTTGGCTTTTATCTTTAAACTTTTCTCAAAAGATTAGACTCTTGTCAATCCTTGTAGTGATGCAAACAACTATACTTCTACAATATGTAGTGAAGTGAGATATTTTCCACTTGGATGTTGAGTGGGGAATTGTTGATTTTAAAATCCAAGTCATATCCTCCACTTTGAGATGAAGCAAATTCTCCTTTCTCATGATTGTGGGTAGTAAGTATGTTTTTCACACAGACAATTGCGATGATGTCTTATCTCATAAAATCAACCAACACACTTGTGTTTCAAATTTTTAAAAGAGGAACTACGTGTACCATGATCCCCTATTGCACGAAAGGTGGTACGTAGGCACTAAAGGTTCGCAACCGCAGCGGGTGCAAAAATCATAAAAATATTTCTTTTCTCACCCCCACCATCCATTTTATATACAACACATTTTTATAGCCAAAATATACAGATTTTTTCAAAGAGGTTCCTACGGAGTACCGTAGATGTTTAGGGTGCTAATATCTTCCCTTTGCATAACCAACCCCCTTACCTTGAATCTTTCCCTCTCTTTTTGGGTTATTCGCTCTTTTCCCATTCCTTTGAAAACAATAAAGCGCGGTGGCGATTTTTATTTTAATTTGTATAAAGTCTAGTCAATCCAATAACTTAGTCTTGCACATTTCTACCGCCACAATTAATAACTTAATTTTGTTTTTGTTTGTCCACAAAATCAAACAAAAAATAACTAGCATACAAACCTCAAAGTTATACTTAAAGGAATATTAAAACAAACTCTTTTCCAAACTAACCTGTCCAAAATACGTAAACTAAACTATTCTATTTAAATCAGTCCAACTAGCTGGAGTTGGTTTTGAATAGAATGTCCCTTCAATATATTCAAAGGCTATCTCTACAACTTGCTTGTTCCGTCCACAATTGTTTTCCTCTTTCAAACACTTTTGTAAACAATGTTTATGGCATTTGGGCCTTTAGACTTTTAACAATGTCTGTCATAACCCAAAGTCAAAACTCAATCTGTACTATTTTATTTGGACTGGGCTTTGTGTATATATAACAGCTTAGAATGAGTGAATCTCCATTCAGATTCTTCTCATCATATCTTTCCAATTCCAACTCATTGGGTGTTCTCTCAAGTCTTCTCCCTCTCACAAGTTGACTTTTCTTTACAAAAGTGCTTTTGTTGTTTCAGAATGGCAGCACACAAGCTTGTGGTAGCATCACTTTTTCTCTGCTGTTTAGCTGAAATTTGTTATGGAAAGATTCTCTTTTCTTCCTTGAAAAGAACCCTTGTTGTCACTGCTTCCCCCAAACAAGGACAAGGTAAGTAACAATAAGATCATGAATCACATAGATCATGTTTAATTTTCATGAACCCTTTCTCTTGAATATGAATAATTTCACATATGACATAAAACATATATTTATATGTTTATAAATGAAAACAATCGTGGATTTTATATGGATGACATATTTTTTAACATGGTATCGGGTTTCTGCTATTAAGTCATTTGCTTTTAACATTTATTATTAAGTCCTTGATTTTATGAATTATGTTGATTTTTAATATGAAACTTTTGATGCAGTTTTGTCATCTGGGGTGGACAAAATCAGTGGAACATGGTCTCTAAACAAGACCTTCCCAGCAGGAACAGACTCTTCTTACAAAACCATAAAACTGAAGTTATGTTACGCGCGAATAAGCCAACAAGACCGCGCGTGGAGAAAGACAGTAGACGATCTCTCAAGGGACAAGACATGCCAACACAAAATGGAAGCAATGCACTACGACACTTCTAACAAGACGGTGCAAACCTATGACTGGTTGATCGAGCGCGCCGTGCCTCAGGCCACATATTTTGTACGCGCCTACGCATTTGACTCCAATGATGTGGAAGTTGCTTACGGACAAAGCACGAATGCTGATAAGAGTACTAATTTGTTTGAAATCAACGCGATCAGTGGACGCCACGCCACACTTGACATTTGCTCTATTTGTTTCAGTGCTTTCTCGGTATTGTCCTTGGGCGTGTTCTTCTATATCGAGAAGAGCAAGGGAAAGTCACAGAAGCAGTGATTGAATTTGAGTGGCATAAGAAGGAAACTTTATGGTAGATTGTTTTTATAATCCTTTATAGTTCTAAGTTTATGCTTTTGTATCAAAATCAAGAATAAATCATGAGATACATGTTTTTACCTTTCAATGCAAGTTTCTTTATCAATGTCTATTAAATAAAGCAATTAACTCAGAATCAATTCTCGTCACCGCGGAACCAACTGAGACATAATAAATAAGAGCAACCATTTGGTCACATCACATCTAATGATTATTAAAATACATATCTATACTCCTCATTCTGTCAGTACCATAAAGTGATATTCTGTCATGATAAGCTTCAACATATCCAAATGCATCTCTACCAGGAGGACATTCCAATGCAGCTTCAAGAATTCTATGATGTATACCGTGAGAATCAATGGAGTATCCACCTTTATGATCATGACCAGAAAAACAAACCTTCACACAACTATATCTATGTATCAAACTCATCACTTCATCATAATTCCACAGCAATGCTTCCTTAGACGACGCGACAGGATCTAGAGGCATATGACAGCAAACCACGACTTTTTGTTTCGATTTTGTTGCGTCTTGAAGAACATTGTTCAACCATTCCATTTGTTCCTTTCCAACGCCTCCGTTGAACATAAGAAACCTTCTTTCAAGTCCAACTAATCCCATTGGACTATTCTTATCTTCATTCGGATTCTTCTCTCTCAGTAACTTCATAGCTTCCAATGTTCTCGGATGATCTCGAGGCCAACCAATCGCGCTTATATCATATCCGTCGAGAAAAACAAATCTATACTCAGGCACAGGCGAAAAATCATAGTAACCATGGCCTTCAGAACTATGAATCTTCAACAACGGAAGTAACTTGTTACGAGGTAAATTGTACAGACAGTGATTTCCAATTAAATGATGTACCTGCCCTTGGAATTTCTCAAATTCACCAGCAATTTTCTTTACAGTATCAAAAGATTGATCTTTCGGACAAAACCCGTCAACAATATCTCCACAATTTATAACAAATTTATGTCTCCTATGATTATTCCAATTCTGAACAGCTCTTTGTAACACAAGAATGCTATGCCTATAGTAACGAGGAACGCCTAGGAACGAATGACCATCCGGAATATCACCATATTGCACATCAGATATCAATCCGAACGAAAAGAGAGGTCGATTTCGATCATGTGTACTTTTCATCCAATTTTCAGAACCCATGGTGTTACTGTTTCTATCTAATCTCCTCAAGCACATTACCTATTGAAAATGCAACATAATATATATAATGTCCTAAAAATAGAACATTCCATTCCATGTACAATGACAGAAAACAGACAAAAACAAAAACAAAAACAAACATCCTATGCTAACATAACATATCATGACATATAAAAAACATGAGATAGAAACAAAGAGGGACTTACATGTGTTGATTATGAATGTTGATGGAAAACAATGACATATAAATTAGAATACAGTAATTGTTAGTGTGGGAAGGTAGATCTGAAACGTGTTTTGGAAATTTTGTACGTTAACGTAATGCAAAAATCGAAGAACTGAAATTGTCTCTTTCTGAGTTGTCAAACACGGTACTGCCACTGTCTTCCTACCACGTTGCAATTCACATTGCAACCAGATCTCTTACATGGTTACGGTATTTCAACTCGAAGGTAGCATCAACACGGTTATTGTTTGTTTCCCTTTGTTTGTCAATTGGAACTTGTTTATGGAATAATGTTCATATGTTATATTTTACGAAGAAAATGGAAATTACAACTGGATTTAACTAATATAGGCAGTTAGAAAAACTAGGTAACAAAATTTTTTTTCTTTCTAAAATATATTATAGTTTTATGTTAAGTGTAATTAGTTCTATTTAAATTGACAGTAATTTATATATTGAAAATCATTTGAATAAAAAAAATAAAAATGTATACTTGTCTTTGTTTTAGAGGATAATTTTAAATTTAGTTTAAATTTAATTTTCTTTTTAATAGGAATCATGGGATAGTAATAGTAATGAATGGTTGGGATTTAATTCTTTTCTTTCTTGTTTTTCTACTTTTTTATGAATAAGCATTTTCCTTAAATTAATTGGGTTGTTTAGGATTAGTTTTTTTAAAGAATCTTTTGGCGTCGGCCACGGTCTCATAAGCATAAGTAGGAGGAGAGCCGATGGATAAAACAACCCAAATTTATGCAAAACGGTCGAAATATCGTGTTGTCTCAAAGATAAAACAGTTCAGTTTTATACGGTACAACTACTATTTTTATAGTAGATAATTTGTCTAAAAATACATCATCTTATGGTACAAAGACCATTCGAATATGGTATAAATACTACCAAAGTATTTGGTATAACGATCGATTGTAATAATTTCTCAAATCAAAAGAAATTTGAATAATTCTCTAAAGAGAATCCAAAAATTATATTTGATAATTTTCAACTCAAACGAGGAGAAATTAACATTATTCTCTAAAGAGAATTCAAGAAAGTACTCAGAAAATTCAATAAGTAGAAAGAAAAGGGGAGAAGTTGGCGTTTCGACAATTCGAAAGACGCGGAGTTGTGAGAGTGTAGAAGGAAAAACTCAACAAAAGAAACTTTTTGTGTATTTTGGAATGAAACATGTACATAAATAAATGTGTCTACAACTTGATTCTTTGGGTAGCAAGTATGATTTTGATTCAACAAGAGTGACACAAATGTCTTGAACTTTATCTCTGACATCAAATCCACACACAACCTTTTCTTAAGGAGTATTCTAATAGTTTGTGCTTTAATGGTCCTACACGTGTATCCCAATTTAGTGAAGGCTTTAGGAATTCTGTCTCGAAATTCCATATGAACCGGCCTAGGTTCCACAATCATATAGGTGAGTCTATCAAGAGTACTCATGTAGCCTATGTACCCCCCTCATATAGAGTATATATCTCATTAAGAGTTTCTATTATCTCATCCTCTTATCGCTTCAAGATTCATGTTTCTCTCATTTACTCTAGCATGATCACTCATATTACTCACAACTTGTTATTACCCATTGAACTTATTCTTGGGATCTGAAGTCATTTAGGTCGGGTTACCATCATGAGTAATTCATTTTTCTATAGGCATTAGTCTCATCTTATATGATGTATTATAGAAATTTTCTCAAGCTAATCCTTTCATCAAAGCATCTGCTAAGTTTCATCAGTGCGTACATGATCCACTCTTATAACTCCTTTAGAGATACAATCTCTAACAATGTTGTGCTTTTTTATAATTTGACGTATTTTATCATTATAATAACAGTTCTCAATTTTTGCAATAGATGTGGTACTATCGCAGTATATCAACACAGTTGGCATAAGTTTTTCCATAAAGGGATCTCAATTAGCAAGCATCTTAACCAACTTGCTTCTTCACTAGTAGTCGTTAATGGTATCATCTCATACTACATTATGGACTGAGCCATGATAGTTTGTTTCTTTGGTTTTCAAGATATATACAACTCCTCCAACTATATTGAAAACATAGCCACTAGTTGCTTTAGAATCATCCAATAAGTTATTCCAATCTGCATCATTGTATCCTTCAAGTACAACAGGAAATCTCTACTAATGCAAACTGATATTCGTTGTCTTCTTAAGGTATCGCATGACTCACTCAATAGCTTGCCAATTATTATTACTCGGTCTACTAGTAAACCTACACAACAATCCTACGACACGTGCAATGTCGGGTCTAGTTCAATAAGTGACATACCTAATACTACCAATGATGCTTGCATATTTCTATTTGTTATAAGATTTTCACTAGTATTTTTAAACAGTTTCACACTTGAATTGTATGGTGTGTCTACAGGTTTACAGTCTAAGTAATTATATTTCTTTAAGTTCTTTTCGACATAATGTGATTAATCTTAAAAAATTCCTTTCTCGGGTCTCGTGATCTTCATGCCAAGAATCATGCTCGCTTATTGAAGGTCTTTCATATCAAAGTTGTTGCACAATAATGATTTCACATCATTAGCCAGATGAATGTTTGATCTAAATATGAGTACATCGTCTACATAGAGATATATGATAGTGCAAATGTGATTCTTTGATTTATAATAAATGAATTTGTCACTTTCATTCACTTTGTACCTATTCTGGACTGGGCCTGCCCTTGGCCCAACTCCATGTGAGGCCCAATCCAATTATGTTGTTCAAAGCATGCTGGACAGTTCTTCCCTCGACTGAGTCGGGCAGCAACTACTCTCTACGAGGAAACGACCTCACTGCACGAGGATGAACCCTGTTACTCTTACAAAGATCACCACCGGTACCTCAAGGTCACGCTCCAATCCTCTCCTGACCAATAATGGTCCTATCACACGACCTCACGATCAGTGGGAGTATCCACAAAGAGCAGAAGCACCTCACGAGTATCCTCCTCGCAGGGCTGACTATCAATGCCTCTGAATATCAGAGTCTTTGTGGCCCCGGAAAGATCGCTTCCATATCCTCATGATCTTGTGGAGGAAGTCATCCAGGTAGGGGATCACGTACGGGTCCCCACTACTCACGTAGGACATGGCAGTCAACATGTTGGGCCTGCTTGACCAGCCCAATAAGGAGACCTTGGCCCAGCGTTGGGGGATATAAATACCCTCTCCTATGAGAGGAGGTATTGAACACTTCTGACTTCCTTGCTTGCTTGCTCATTCCGGAACTTACTTTGTCATCGGAGAGTCTTGCAGGTACCCCTCCCACCTCACTCTCAAATTCTGCTCGGAGCAAGTTGTGACGGTCGCTTCTGGTCAGGTACGATTAGTGGCGCCGTCTATGGGAGACTTGCTTCTCCGTCTTCCATTTTCACAAGACAAAAACTAATCACACTCAATTCTGACTGTCATGGATGATCAAATAGCAGAAAACAACCTGAATGTATGTCTCGCTGATACCGACAACAATGTCGCCGACACTAACGCCAGCATCAACAATGCTGGTCCTACTGGTCACAACGCTGGCCCCACCGTCGA